TTTTTTTTTTTTTTTTTTTTTTTTTTTTTTTTTTTTTTTGTACTGGGGATCGAACTCAGGACCTTACATTTGAGAGGCAGGCGGCGGAACCACTCATCCAAATCCCAGGTCCCTTAGCCAGTGCTCTGACCTGAACTGTGTCCCCCTCCAATTCATGAGTCAAAGCCCTGATCCCCAGTGTAGTTGACAACTGTGTTTGGAGGTGGGGCCTTTAGAAGGGAATTAGGGTCCCTCTAGGTCATAAGGGTGGAGCCCTCGTCCTTTAGGCTTGATGTCCAGCTAAGACTACAAAGACACCCGAGGGCCTCCCTGCACTCCGTGCACCGGCCCAGAGGAGAAGCCACGGGAGGGCACAGTGAGAAGCAGCCACCTGCACTCCCAGAAGCTCACCCCAGAAACAAACTGCCTGCCACCTCGGCTTGGGCTTCTGGCCCCTAGAAGTATGACAAAATGAACTTCTGTTGTGTCAACCACTGGGCGGCTTTTTTGTTTATGATTCATTTGTTTTATGGCTGCACAAGATGGGCCAGGACAGGGAGGTTATGGGACTAGCTGAGTGTCTTAGTCTGTTCAGGCTGCTGTGACGAATTACCTTGTGCAGAGTCATCTGTGAGTCACAGACTTCAATGGCTCCCAACCCTGGCGGCTGGCAAGTCCACAGGCAAGGGCCAGCAGTACAGGTTCTGTGTGTGGGGAGCGCTCTCTCCATGCCTCCTCCTCCTCCTCCTCTTCTTCGTCTTCCTCTTCCTCTCCTCCTCCTCCTTCTCAGAAAGAGCCACCTAGTGTCCTCACTTGGAGGAGCAGGAGACGAGCCTTCTATGGGGGCAGTGACTCCACTCACAGGGATCCACCCTCATGCCTTAGTCACCTCCAAAAGCCCACACCCTAAAACCATCCCATTGAGGACCAGTTTTCTACCTATAAATTTTGGGGACATTGCAAGTGTTCAGATTTAGCGCCAAGTTCTCCAAGCTAAGTGTGCTCGACTCGGGATGGCCAAGCCAAGCAGCCTGACATCCTGGCGGGCCTTTAACTGCCCCACAGTGCCACACCTCAAGCTTTGGGGCTTTCCTCTGTGGGTGGCTTTTTCTTTTCCTTGTTCTGAAATTAACCGATATATAATAACTTTATTGTGTTTTCTTTTCTCTCCTCTAGAAACTCTTGAGAGAAGAAAGGCTTAGAGGTCATCCCTGAAGGGAGCCAAGGAGACTCAAACTCAGCTTGCAGGACCCCAGGAGACAGGAGAGAAGAAGGCAGGAGGCTTTTCCAGTAGTCTGTGCAACCGGTGCCTGGGGACGCACTCTTTTGCTTAAGCAGCAGGGCTTCCCTGAGCTACATCACCCCGCTTCCTCCACCTAATGCCCGCTCGTAGTCAGTACCCACATACCCAGCAGACCTCACTATGACCAATGTGCCATAAAACACATTCCTATTTCAATTAGCATTGCAGAGAACAGTCACTGATGTGCTAAAACACTTTCCCCACTCCCCGGCCCAGTGCATGAAACGCTCCCCTGTTTAACCGAGCATGCCCAGCTCAGAGCTGGATACACTACGTTGCCTCAGAGACTGCACATGTGCAAGAAGCCAGGTGGAATGAAAGGGTGAGGAAAAAGTGCAGGCAGCTGAGTCAGAGTGGAAGCAGAAGGTAGAAAACATCACTCAGGAAAGGGCAAGAAAGGTGTAGTTTACCCACATGGGAGTACCACTCTGCCACGAAGAGGGGCCAACTGGAATCATTTATAATGGGCGACGCACCTTGAGACCGTAATGTTAAGTGAAATAAATCAGACACACAAGCTGAAAAATCGCATGGTGTCTCTTATATGAGAAACCCAAAATATAAGTCAACAGCAAAATGAAAGACAGGAATAGGAAACACAGAGATAGATCTCTTGCAGGCAGGAAGAGAGTCAAGAGATGAAATAAGGGGAAAAAAGAAGAATAAAGATGTTAAGAACATGTGTCCACTTCCTGAGATAGATGTAAATGGTATGTGCTACAAACATGTACCAATAAAAACCGAAAAGAAAGCCAGGCATGGTGGCGCATGCCTGTAATCCCAGCACATGGGAGGCTGAGGCAGGAGGATCACTGTGAGTTCGAGACCAGCCTGGGCTACACAGTGAGTTCCAGGTCCATCTCAACTACATAGTAAGACCCTGTCTCAAAAACAAAAACAAACAAAACTAAAAAGAAAGATGTGGGAAAGAGGCCTGATGGTTCATAGAGAGAAAGAAAAACAATCAAAACAAGGAGTAAGGAGATCTCAAAGGAAAGCAAGAGGAAGACATGTGTTTTTCAGAGACAGGGTCTCACTACGTAACCCAGGCTGGTCTTGAACTCCCAGTGATCCTCCTGCCTCAGCCTCCAGGGTGCTGGGGCTACAGGCGTGCACCACCTCACCCAGTGTGGCAGTACTGTGCCGTCAAATTCCTGTGGGATTCAGAGGAGAATCTCATTTGCTTTATAATTGAAAGCTGAGCTATAGAGTAAACACAACAGTTATTTTTTTTTTTTCACAGCAGCAAAAGACAAGTCACAGAGTGCCAGTGACACCAGCATGTCATGCTGCAGGTCCTTGGCTGTTCCAGGAGGATCGCACCCACCTAAAGCAGGAGTGGAGACACTGCCTTAGGAGAAGCAATGCCCAGCGGCCTGCTAATAATCAGCAGCAGGTAGCTGGCAAGAAGAGGTGGATGGTTATAGACATTTTGGTTTTTGCAGTTCTGGGATGGAACCCAGGGCCTCAAACACTAGGCAAGCACTCTGCCCCTAGCTACACTCCAGCCTTTTGGGAGACACTTGATAAAAAGTCTGAAGTGAGCCAGATGTGGTGTCACATGCCTGCAATCCCAGCACTGAGGTAGGCTGAGGCAGGAGGACGGCAAGCTCAAATCCCTCTGGGCAACTGAGACCCTGTGTCAAAATACAGTATAAAAGGGGGTAGGGCTGTGGCTCAGTGCTCCCTGGCTTCAATCCTCTGAGAAGAGGGAGGAAGAGGAGGAGGAGGGGAGGGGAGAAGGAAAGGAAGGG